TAGGGTTTAGGGCTTAGGGTTTCTTGAGTCCTAAGCCCGACGCCGTGAAGCTTGAACTCGAAAGTCTAAACCCGAAGACTTGAACCCATGGCCCTTGAACGGTTTAGGGTTTAGGGTTTAAGGTTTAGGGGTTAGGGTTTCAGTTTAGGGTTTAGGGGCCTTCCAAAATGTCCCAAACGCCCTAAGCCCAATCCAATTACACGTTGGCAAACCGCGGCTTTTCCGGCCCTCGGTCCTGCTTGTAGAAGTAGGCTATTTGGGGTTCGTCGTGTTTGGGTTTTTGTGGTTTAGGGATTAGGGATCAGAGGCTCGATTTAGGCTTCGAGGAGTAGGGCGTAGGGGGGGAATGGTTCGGGTCTAGGGTTTGGTTCCGGGGCCTTAAACCCTAAACCCTAAACCCCAAACCCTAAACCCTAAACCCCAAACCCTGAACCCTAAAGCCCAAGCCGTGGGGGTTTTGGGGTTTCGGGTCAAGTTGCAGGCTGGAGGTCTGGCGCCAGGGGTTGGAGGCTGAACGCTGAAGGTCCACAGATAGCATGGCTGTGGAGGTTTAGGATTTAGGGTTTAGGGTCGCATAAACTAGGCCCAGAAAGCTCTTAGCCCCTTCTTGTGATTAGATGTGGGAGCAATGGGATGGTTTGTGGCCTCTAGGCCGGCGCGTGATAGGCCCTAAGCCCCAAACCCTTTGCCATTGTGGCCTTGTGAAAGCCAGAACTCACAACCTCTACAACCGAACCACGGAGCATCTTAAGGGCTTCCTTTTTCAGGGGCTGTTAATTCAAGGTGGTCTTGGTCATGTAGGCGCCTTACTAATTAGAATAGGTGTAGGGGCCTTACTAATTAGAATAGGGTTTTGGGGTATACTGTACTATAATTACAATAAGGAGCCCCCCAAAAGAGCATAGGTACATATTTCGGCCCCTATATTAGTTTCTTTGGATTTGTTTTGTGCCCGGTCATTGTCAGGCTTTCTGAGTTCTGGCTTCGGGACGGCAGGCTTCAGGGTTTCAGCGATTTGTTGCAATTTTTTCGGGATTTCAGCATTAATGTAGGGGCCTCAATAATTACCAACAGTATATTATTTTGGGTTCCTTAGGATAATTACAGTATAATGCCACCAAAAACGCTATTCTAAGCATCAAGGCCCCTATATTTTACCCCCGCCGAAGCCCTAAGGCCTAAACCCTAAACCCTAGCTCAAAACCCTGAGCCCTGAACGTAGGATCTGGGTTGGAGGGTTCCACACAGCCGCTACCCGTGAGCACCTTTGGCTCAACGCAGTAGGTGCAGGCCTTCTTGTTTTTTGGAGTGCATCATACCCGAAACCC